CTGTGTGCTATGTGTCTAAGAGAAACTACTGTCTAGATTGGAAACCCCTGTGTGGACTAAGGAGAGGTGATTGATTGTACCGTGACTTTTGAGGAAGTACTTTCGGGGGACTTTCCGGGAGCCGTGAACTTCCAATCTGTATAAGGTTGCAGAAGAAATTTAGAGAGAAGTGGACAGGTTGCCATCCCACCTCAACAGAAAGGGAAGCTCACAGAATTCTGGATCTCTTCTAGGAAACTCAAGTGTCTCCTGGAAGTCAGGTTTAGAACTCTTGATACGATGCCGAAGCCAGTTCTGGTGACTTGTAGATGTTGGCATGGGGGCAAATTTCCGTATACTCAAGTTAGGAGTCTCTTCTATGCTCTACTAACTTCCTTAGCAATATGTAATTTTAGAAAATTAATGGCAGGGCCGCTCCTCAGACTTCGGGGACCAGCTCTGTTGTACTCCACTTTCAGTCAGCCAGCAATGGGACGCTAATGTAATATGACATGGGGATAAAATTGAATTGCTTGGCTTTCACTTTTGTCCCCTGAGTTTTTGCTCTCCAGTTCCTTGCCATTAGCTGGCTTTGTGAAAAACCAAGTGCGAGACAATCCATGGATGTGGAACATCACAACACCAGCCAAGAGAGACAGTGTCCCCCAGGAACCTCGTTAGAAATGTTTAGGGAAGTTCTTGTGTGTGTTCCAAATTTCTTCCCATATCTGGCAGCAGCAGATGCTAGTATTAGGCAGAATCTTGTTTAGGAGAGAAATGATCAGAGCAATTATAATAATGATATTAGCTAATACCTATTTGACACTTAGAATGTACCAGGCACTTTTCCAAGGCGCATCACGTGTCCTGACCCATTTGGTACTCATACTGGTTGATCCTGTTGTCATAATCTTACGTATGAGGAGACAACATTGCACATTAACCAGGAAGTGAAGAACTTTGCTTTGGATCTAGTTGGTTTGCTTTGGAGCCTCCTATCTTTCAACAATTAGCTATGTTACCCTGACCCACACCTACTGCTTATACAAAGGTCGAGAATGATTGAAAAGGATTTCTACTATTTAGCCCATGATCTGATATTAAGTGACTTTTTTTTTAATTTTTGGTTTTTTGAGACATGGTTTCTCTGTAGCTTTGGAGCCTTTCCTGGAACTAGCTCTTGTAGACCAGGCTGGCCTCAAACTCACAGAGATCCGCCGACTTCTGCCTCCCGAGTGCTGGGATTAGAGGAGTGCCCCACAATTGCCAGACCAAATTTTATAAGGTTTTAGGTCAGCATATAACAGGAAGCAAAGCATGGGATAACTTAGGGCGTGGTTTAAGGAAGCTCCTATTGTTTCCAGGTTGTTAAAACCAGAATCGCTGAACATAGTGGACAATGAGGACTGCTGAGAAGTCAAGAACAATGGCACTGGGTTTTGATCCTACTGCATGTACTGGCTTTGTGGGAGCCTAGACTGTTTGGATGCTCACCTTACTAGACCTGGAAGGAGATGGGAAGTCCTTGGACTTCCCACAGGGCAACCCTGACTGATCTTTGGGCTGATGACGGAGGGGGAGTTAATTGGGGTAGGGGGTTGGGAAATGGGAGGCAGTGGTGGGGAGGAGACAGAAATCTTTAATAAATAAATAAATAATAAAAAAAGAAATGAAACATGAAATAAAAAAGGAAGCGCCTATTGGTGTATGTTGCAAGAAGGTGGGAGCTAAAATTGAGAAGAGGGAGAATGGTTAGTGACACAATCCTGGAGAGGAAATGAAATCCCAGCACTCGGGAGGCAGAGGCAGGCAAATCTCTGTGAGTTCAAGGCCAGTGTCTACAAGAGCTAGTTCAGGACAGGCTCCAAAGCTACAGAGAAACCCTGTTTAAAAAAAAAAAAAATAAGAAAAACAACAACAAAAACCACCCCCCCCCAGAAAAGAAGAAAGAAATAATATGTCAATTCACTTGGTATCTGGAAAATTCTATTAAATACTAGGTCCTAGTATATGATCACAGTAGGCTTCATGGAAGTTTGGAGCCCAGTGTTTCGAGGCATCTTTGTGTGGGGTGGGACCAGAGGGCAAACGTGAGAAGTTGGGAGGTGACAGTGGGCAGAGGGGAAACAGTCTCTGACGGGGCTGAGGTGGGTGTTACATATGGAAGTGGTCGGAAGGACAGGCCAGCAGTTCTCTGAAATCTGTTTACACTTGGCAACTGCTGCCCTAACGAGGTCGCTCTTATTGCCATTAACCACCAAAGACAGCCAGAGCTCAGTGGCATTTAATCCACTTGTCTCAAGAGAGTGTTTACCCAGAACTCACTCTGCCCTGTGCTCTCCTTCTGCCTGCCATCACAGACTGGGAAGAGCCACTGCCTTCTAGGACTTCAGCTTCCTTCTCATCTGCCTTGTTTGTGGGGAAAAAAATCACCAGATACCATCTATAAAGATTACCTGGGTTAGCTTGGGAATGAAAATATGATGCCCCTTGATGTGGGGATAAGCCCTTGATGTAAAGCAAGTGTGATTGCTGCTAATCACTTAATTCCTTCTTCTTACTTACATCTAGCACCCGGCATTCTTTACCGTGATCATTACTTTTCCTCTTGTGTAGAGATATCACTTGTTTATAGATTGATATGATTTTAAACTAGCTATAATATTTCTCTAAGAATTATGGTATTCAATGCAAATGAACCTCAATTAGTTATTTAGAACAGTCACTTGAAACCACTTATTGAACTTTTATGCAGACATTTCTTTTATATACTCAAACTTGTAAGTCCCACAATTTGCATGCAGGAATTTAGAACACACACACACACACACACACACACACACACACCACACACACACACACAGAGTATGTGGTAGATAGATTTCCCTTTAAATAAATACAGCTCTATACATCCATTTATAATATCTGCCTCATGTTTTCTTGATAGGATGTGCCATGGTTCACTTAACAAACCTCGTGTAAATTGTTTACTTATAAATAAAGCACTCTTGGCACCAGGTAGAGATCAGCTGATCAGGCTAAACCATATTATGACTTCGCTATCTTATGCATGGACTCTTGGTATTTATCCATAGTTTCATATAGCTCCTCAAAGGGATATCATATAGGAGGAGGATCAGAACAGTGAGTGTGGGGATCATATCTCTGCTTCTCCTTCTGCCATATAGAGCTATATGACCTTAAAATCACTTTATATTTTGAAGCCACTGTTTTATCTGTTGGTGAAGTGATGCTTGCAGGCATGTGATACTTAAGGTTTGGTCGACTGATTTGCAGCTCTTCTATCAAACTAGATCTTGACTCTTCTTAACACCACTAACATACGGCAGATTTATTCTCCTGTGCTTCTGCCAAGGCCAGCACAAGGCCAGTAGATTGGGCACTCTGTCGGGGTCCACTGCTAGCCCGGACCATCAATTATTTCTCTCAACCAGACCCCAACATAAACTATTTCTCTCTGGACTGGTGTGGAGGAGATGAGGATAAAGACACGACTCACATGGTTTTATTGGTAGGGAGATTCTCAGTGGTCCCTCGTGAAGTCCTGAGTTTACATCCTGAAGAATTTTCCTCCTGCTTTATTTTCCAAACAGCCTTTATACTAAAACTTAACTTAGGGGAAATACGTTAGCACTCTGTCTCCTAGGTAACCAGGTGAATGGCTTTCAGTCACACCCAGAACTACCTGTCTGCTCTGTGTGCTAGCTGTCACATAGGCTTGAATCAGCATCTCTATCAGGCATCCTCCAAATTACAAAGGATGGAGCAAAACATCCTGACCGTTTGTTAGGTTAGGGACAGCCTGCCTGGCAGAATATGTGACCCATCTCAGGTGTGGCCTATGGCTTGATGGCTTGATGGCTTGGCTGCCATGCTAAATAGAAATATAGGCCTACAGCACTCAACAGTTATACTTTGAGTGATAGGCCAGGCAGCCAGCACATCTGTCTCCAGGGCTTTCTCAGGACTAACCATCTGTGTGATTTTGTGTAAACAGTGAACCTCATAAATGTCTACCCATTACCCTCTTTAGAATTTGTATACTTATATACTTATATCTGAAATACTTGAAATCTCTCTCTCCCTCTCTCTTATTAGCAATGTTTATTAGCATTTACTATAAAAAAAAAATAAACAGCAATGTTGTGTTTGAGAAAGTTCTTTCAGCTAATGAAACTGAAGGCTGCGCATGGACCAAAAGGAACACATTGCTCCACACTGGAGGTGATAAATATTAAGTCTATTTTTTCCACTCAACTTAGGCCTAGAATGAAACCACTTTGAAGATGTGACTTAAGACAAATTAAGGAATCTAGGAGGGTGAATAGGATGCTTCAGAGAATTTTGTGCTTCCGGTTTAATTAACTGGTACATGTCCTGGGCCAGCTTGAATGAGGGTTTTTTTTGGGGGGGGGGGGGGCATGAGTTGTGTACTTCATTTCGAGGGACCTTACAGGCAGCATCAATCACAACATACTTTAACTGAGTGTGCTTTCAAAGACTCCTCAATAGATGAGAAATCTCAACCTTGATCCTATGTACTCTAGATAACCTTGTTTGTATATTTAAATGCATTTTTTAGAAAACTTCTTTTGAGGTAAGGCCATTATTAATCAGTTATGGCAATTTTGGACATATTTTCTAATATTCTGTAGCTCCAACATCTTCCTCATTATTTTTCATTATTTGTGTCTCATTTATCAATTTATTACACACAATGAAATTGTGACAAATTAATAGCCAACATTACATAGGGATGTTCCCAGAGCCTTTTGTTCCTACTCCTGTGTTCTCTCCTGAATTTTGGGTACACAAAGTTTCTAGAGAAGGATTCTTCAGCTAATTTTGGTGTCCCTGTAAACAGGATGTATTTCTGGTCTGTACATAAATCTTTTCTTTAACTCACAGGAGATGCAATTGTCCCCATTCCCTCCAGGACCCTGACTTGCAGTTTTTCTCTCTCTCTTACGATACCTGACCTCTTGGTTCTTGTCTTGCAGTCCCCAGTCTGTCCCAGATCGCCTGAGGATCCGAGTGAACAAAATCAGTTTACAAGACTATGAAGGACTCCACTATGACAAAGAGAAACTCCGGGAAGCGTGTAAGTTACCAGCGCCTAAGGGACTGAGGCTGTACAGTCTCAGCTCGTCCTGAGTTTTTGGTGGGTAGATTCATTAGACCTCATGTCCAAGAATGTGGTTGGAGAAGGCAAGGGAGATGTGTCATTACCATGGGAACTTCTGGTGATGATACATGGGCCAGAGAAAATGGAAACAGTGAAGGAAAACGGTGAAGCTAGGCATTCTGACACCTGTGCTCTTGGGTTAGGCACTGCTCTAGGCTCAGCTTAACCAAAAATTAGAAATGCAGAAGGTTGACACAGAAACATCTAGAAACTTTTGAGCCGCCATAAATCTCTTTTTGAAGTTTGCCTTATAAAATGCTTCCACCATGCTCTGGATCGTCCAGAGTGATTCAGGAAAACGCTCCTTTCTCCCAACTCCCATGCTCCTGTAGGATGTCACACCAAGGACCATGACCCTGGAATGCTGAGCTGATTGGGTGATTCTCTGATTATGGGGGAGTACTGTTTCTGAAGTTGTAATTTAAGTCAATCTATGAATTATCTGTCGATGTTTATCTTTCTTTTATATCCTTGAATGCACAGCTAATTGTTAATTTATGTCACCAAACAGTACCTCCTAGACATTTTTATATTCTGATCATGATTTTAGATCAGTTTCTACAACATGATTGATGTTTAGAGATTATTGGGTAAAATGGATAAAAAATTGCTATATGAATGCTACAGATATTAAGGTTCTGGGTTCCCTCATATGTGGGGACCAATAGTCAGATGAAATAAGGTGGGGGTGAAGAAGATCAACACTCAAGAAAACAGACATGGGTACCACTGGGAACAAAGGACTTAATAGAACCAAATCTTTACCAAATCCGGTATTTACTGGCCCAGTGTGGAGCTGACTGGAAGGACAGGTTGAAATGGGGGAGATCGTGCTGCAGATAGAGGGCAGCCAAGCATTCCTGGGAGAGTGGCATCCAAATCCTGCTAACTCGACACTGAGCAGGCACAAGCTTTATCAACTGGGAATCCTGAACCCAAGGAGGTTCTTTCTCTTGGGTGTGAGGGTTTCTAGGACCTGTCGGTGGCCATGAGCAAGGGTCCTTTTGCTGGTGGGTCTTTCATTGAGCCTACTGGGAAGCTCTCTGGGGTCACTTCTCTCAGCTGCTGTCTGCTTCAGCAAGCATCCTCTTCTGCAGGTATCCGTACCTTTCGATTCCTCTCTGCCTCCCACCCTATCCCTCACTCTCATTTTCTTTGGCAGACAAGTGTGAACTAAAGGACAGAAGTGATTCCCTGAACCCCTGCATCTCTTCATTTTGTTAACAGTTCATTAAGGATTATGTTTTCTAATATAAATGAGGTCTAAGGGACATTAGTACAAAGCCCAGTTTAACCCACTGTCAGACAAACGAGCACGTGTATGATGAGATACAGCTACAGCTGAATTAAATAGAAACTACTCAGAAAAAGCAATGTTTCCCGCTCACCTTTTCTCATGTTTCCAAACTAATAGCTTCCAAATACTAAAAAAAAAACAAACAAACAAAAAAAAAAAACCATAATGCGTCTCAAGCAATGTCTTACAGCTTATCATCCGCTCTGAGCAGCTGGGGGAGTGGGATACATTTGAACAGCTCCGAGGCTTTATCTGTAACTTCCGGTTATCTGTTTTATCTTCTCTGCTCCCCCCCACCCCCCGCGTTGCTGCTGATTTGAGTATTTCCTGAAGATGACATTTCCTGGCAAGTGCTTTCCTGATTCATCCTATCTGAAATGATCAAACTTCCATCTGAACAGACGTCTTAAATTGGGAGCAGTGACTTGGCATAGGCCTAGGACAGATAAATTCAACCATACCTTTGGAACCCAAGAGAATGAATCAACTCTTAAAGGGGAACAGCAAGGAATAGATTAAAGATCTGAGTTTGAAAAAAAAATCAATTGGAAGTAAAAGTTGCTAAGTCAGTCATTCTACTTTTAATGAGTGACAATGATGCTTCCCAGCTGTGGGTACATAGAGAAGCTTAGCTTTTGAGGTTACGAATTTGCTGACCCATGCTCTTTTGCCTGGGTTTACCTTGCAGTTGGCTGCAGAGCCACAGAATGGCTGACAGAGCTCAAGCCAGATAGGAATAAAAGCTAGTTCAAGCTCATATGTGATGTGCATGCCAAAACACATTATTTCCGGAGCACTAATTAAATGAAGTTCCCGGAACACATCTAGATAAAAGGATCCCCAGAAGTGTACTCTGACCTGCATTCCGGAAGAACAAAGCATCCGAGTCCACTCAGGAGATCCATTTGTTGTCAACAAAGTCTCAGCTTGAGCAATGGTGTCCTACTGCGTTTAAAACATTAGCGCTCCTTGTTGATGACACCACCAAGTGATGTCCCCGGGCAGTGTGGGATGCTTGCCATCACTATCTAGTTGATTCCTGCTCATGTGTCTAGATGATTATTCATATTAGATTATAAGCTTGGATGTTTGTTGTCTAGCAAAGCTTGGATGCCTGCTTCCATCTGCAACTCGGGGCTCCCTGATAATTCAGCGTGGCAGCTCTTTTATTGTTCTGTTTATTTCAACATACAGAAATGCACCTTCGCTCTGTCAGACACATGTCTCCCTTCTGCTAAGGTCCAACTCTCCTGGGGACCCATCTGATCTCTTTTAGGGACAAGTATCTTAAAGTGGCAGGCCCATGTTCTAACATTTATAGCATTTACCAGAGGGAGAGAGGGAGGGAGAGAGAGAGAGAGAGAGAGAGAGAGAGAGAGAGAGAGAGAGAGAGAGAGAGATTCACTTACACAGAGGGGGATGGATACAGGCATGGGTTTATAGGAAAGGAAAGTCAAGGAGAAGATGTAGGGCATGATGGGTGCCAAAGCCGAGTCTCAGGTTTTTGAGCTGAGCTGGTGTACAGTAGTGCAGGACTAGGTCTTGTATAAGAGGGTGCTCTCAGGTGTAGCAGAGGCTGGCATTCAGATTCTGTGTCAGGAAGATATTGCCCACGTTGAACAATAGTCTGAGTCTGGGTAAATTGAGTTACCAGGATGCCTACAAGGGGCCTAGGGATACAAGAATCAAAATGGTTGTTTAAGGAATATTTATAGGTAGGGGTCAGGAAGTCCATGAAGAGTTTTAAAATCATTTTGCATTGAATTTATTAAGAGGAAGGGAAGAGGTAAATAGAAGAGTTAATGACAACAGGCACCCTGAAGGGTGTGTTTTTTTGATATTTAAGTTAGGAGAGGCAGTGGGAAAGGCATCAGAGAGTATAGATGGGTTTTAGTAGAGTTGTAATGGATGTCCCATGGAGCAGTGTGGAGTCCCCATCACAAGAATGTTAAGTCTCATACAGGGGAGGGGAGGAGATTGTCCATTAAAAGGAATAAGATAACTCAGTAAGTCTGGCCTTGGACTTGTAACGTTCTAACTTCCCAAACTCACTGACATCAGTTAGAGTTCTGATAACCAAGCACAGCTTCATTTTGCAACCTTAGTTTACAGTTAGTTTTTCCACTGGTCAAGCACTACATTTCAGGCATGTGGTAAAAATTATCTCGTGGGCAGAGTGGCTAGTACCTTCTCCTAGAATCAGAGGATGAGTCTATGATGATCAGGTAGGCAAATCTTCAGGAGAGATGGAAATGATTACCATAGCCGTGAGAGAAGAAACTCAGGGATCTTGAATCGCTATGATAATTCACAGGAGTTTAAGATCCAACAAATGAAGTCAGTTTGGAACTCAAATAAAAACAAAGATAGGAGGGGATAACATTTGCTATGTATCAGATGCACTATTAAGAAGTTTTCAGATAATTGATGCTGTTTGGATGCCTAGAATGCATCATGCTTGCTTCCTTAGTATATTGGTTCAGACTAATGGTATCAGGACCACTCTCTAATTAGACCATTTAGGCATCTGCACTAATGGAATTTTCTTGGTAAGCGAGTTAAGGGAGAATGCCAGGAATGTTTGTGTTGGAATCTCAGTTGCAACCCTGGCAGAGTAATTTAATTTTTCTGTTGGTCAAATCTCTCTTCTCTAAAATGAAAGTATAATTGTAGCCTCATAGAGTGCAGGGGGTTAAATGTATAATCTTGTCGATAAGCCCCTGGTGTTGACCCTGGCACATTACCACGCTGTGCGAATCTGCAAATGTGGGCACGGTGAGGGGAGGCTGCGCTTGTTAAAGAGCGTCACTGCCAGTCCTCACATTGCCCATGAGTCTGCAGGTTCCGAGGATGGTCTGATCTCAGGCAAACTGTATAGCCTCCCTCCCTCCAGTTCACTTTCTCACCTTCCAGAGCAGCCTGGAGAACATTGATAGAGTCACCCTGTAGCAGGTTGGTTTTAGGATGGTAAATGTAACAAACTAGCTCTGCGAAGAGAGAGCAATGGTTGAAGATTGCCTCTGAGGACTTGTGAGGAGAGGTGAAGAGGCGCCAGCCGACGGCAGCCAGTGAGCTGGAAAGTCAGCAGACCACTTGCTCTTTAAAAGTCAAGGGAAGAAAACATTCTCATAAAGTAGGTCCCTAGTAAATAGTCCCTCTAGGAGGGAAAGGGTACATGCTGATGACTGATAACTGGATTTAGGCAGAGGGTGGAGCTCAGTTATTTCACCTACAGTTCTAAGTTGATAACGGTGAAGGTGAGCAGATACACTCACGCGTAAAGGGCAACAAAGTAAGAACTCTAACCTTGACTACTCCTCCCTCCCTCCCTCCCTTCCTCCCTCCCTCCCTCCCTCCCTCCCTCCCACCCTCCTTCCCTCCCTCCCTCGTTTCCTTTCTCCCTTTCTTTCGTCCTTCCTTCCTTTTCTTCTTCCCCCTCCTCTTCCTCCTCTTCTTGCTTCTTTCTTGTTTTAACTTTTAGCTATTTGATTGTAACAGGGAGGAGAACAGATGGTTGGTGTCTAGAAAAGGACTGAGAATGAATGGAGGAATTTTCTCTCCTTAGTAAGACAGTGCAGCAGACAAGCATGCTGATGGGACCAACCACTAAGAAGAACAG